AGCTTAAAGTAATTTTCCCTTCTTTGAATTATGTCATAACCATGTAACAGCTCAATTATGATACATTTGCTTAATTAACAAGAAACAATTTTATTTTTTTTTGGTTGAAACAAGAAACAAGTTGAAGAAAGACCCTTTTCATTATTTAAACGAGGGGGTCCTTTTACAGCTTAACTTAAATTAATCCTGCTTTAGTTTGTAACTTGAGACAATGCATTATCAACTAATGCATCATTAAGCCATGTCCTCACTCTCTTCTTGATCCCTTATCCATTTGAGAGGCCATTTTTTAATTAATCACAGAACATGTGTTGTGATATGGTTATGGCCACCAACGTAGTTGACATGCCGAGCTGAGTCAGACACACGTCGATGTGGCTGTACTTTTTTGCTGAGTGTACGTGTTTCTACGGGCCCTTGTATATTTTTTGGAGTAGTTTGCACTCAAAAGGGAAGACGCTGGCCACTTGTTTCGTATTATGAGAAACATTAGGGTTTCTATTATATATATTCAAAGCACAATTGATGGAAAGGAATGTGTTCAATTAATATAATTTGGACATTGATTTGATGATAAAATTATCAATACCCTAATGTGCCAAGTGTTGATAGTTTAATAATTACTCTTTCCATGCATATTATAATCAAGAAAAGCTAACCCTATTTGCCTCCCATTTTGCTATTTTATTTGCTTAACGTGATGATACCAAAGAAATGGCAGGAAAGGGTCAGAAAACAATTAGAAAATGAAGGGGAAAGTGCAAGAAACAATTAAGATATGTAGAAGTGGGAATCTTTCAAGAGCCCTTGAATGATAAGTTTCACAAGATCGATGAAGTTTTATGCGAACCCGTTTTTCGGTTCATACAACAACAACGACCTTCCATTTTCCACATCGATCTTGGTCCTATGGTTCTTGTCCTTCTCTTATTATTAATCTTTACCCGCATGGATTCCCAGCTCCTACGTGATCAAGACTGCTAAACTACAAGATGTGCTACCAAACCTTCTTTTTCTGTGTTTAGTCTATCATACCAGCCCAACCACCCTTCTTTGGTGCCCTAGAAGGAGCATTAAAGAAGTATATAATTTAATCCTGAATATTGCATACTTCTTTCATGAAAAATGGGTGGAGAATATATCTGCTCAAACCTAGGTTGATAAAACAAAATTCGGTGCTAAACTCTTTTTGTGTTTTTATTTTTAAAAAATCACAATAATGGAATTAATTAGAGATAAGACTACCTGGCTACCTTCTTTTCTTTGCCTTTCGGTGCCTGCCTGCCTCCCTACCAAGATATTCTTTCTCCCTCTCCCCGTTCTTTTATCTTCCAAGTGAGTGGTGATGTGCAATCATCATGCATACCATTGTGCAAGCTTGCATGGTCTTAATTTTCTCCATATTGTTCACCCATGAGATATGACTATTTTCAGGACATAATATTCTTTCCTGAGCAAAATATACATGTCTACATATTTTTCCAAAAAAGGGGGGTTTTAATAGCATTTTTTTAATCTGCTTTCTATATTACTCTCATTAGCATTTTAATTTGTTATTTTGAAAAAGGATAAAGCGATTATGAATATCTAATCTATCTTATTTTTATATTTCAGTGTCTAATTTTTAATTTAATTTTAATAGCTATCTGATTTTTTTATTTTCCATAATAAAGTGTTTAAGTAAATGTTTGTTAATAAAATAGTTATGTGTTGTATTCCTTAAGTAATAATATGAATACTGATGACATTTAATGAGCGTTAGAATTGTGTTTATATATATATATATATAAGGGACAAAATGGAAATACGGGTAATGGAAAGTGTGAAATGTCAAATGATTTTAGAAAATGGGTTATAACTAAAAGAAATTTCTCCTATATCTAAGCTATTAACTTTTATATATTTGTGTATGTTTTTTCCTTTTAATTTATATATTAAATAATTATTATTTTTAAATTTTCAACTGTATTTTGGATGGAGTTTTTTCTTTTATTTTTAGCTTATGTGACATCTCATTAATGAAGCTAAATTTAAAATGTTATCATAGGTGTTCATGTTTATGTTATCATTTAATGCACACATCAACATTTGACCATCAAAAAATTGTGTTATCCCTTTCAAAAATAAATAAAAATCAAACACTTATTTAAATAAAACTAAAGATTATAAATCTAATTGTGAAAATCAAATAAATAATGACATTAAAAAATATGTTATCCCTTTTAAAAAAAGAAATCACTATCCAGCATGCATTAGCATTGGAAACTTAAGGATACACACTATGGAGAAAAGCCAAATACTTCAAGCTTAAGCAAGGTTTGCTTTCTTAACCTATCTCCTTTTCTTTTTCTTTTGTGTGTGTGTGTTTTCATGAGTATTTATTCTTTTAATCAGTTTTAGTTTTAAGTACTTATGCAATCGAGATAAAATTAAAAAAATAAGAAAAAAAATATTTACCAGTAATGAAATCGTGAAAACTTCAAACCGGTTGGGCTTAAGTATTTACCTGATTATATTAGCTTACCTTGTGGAGATTAGTATAATAATGGAGAATACCTAAAAAGTTAAATTGTTGATTATTGTATTTTATTGTATTACTAGTGAAAAGGTTAATATTTGTCATTAGTTATGGTGTCTTGATCTATCATTAGTGGAGAGGTGGTTTCTTGGCAAGTAGCCTTTAAGGCAACATGTAGGTAGGAAATAGCCTTTAACAAGGAGAGGTGGCCCATTATTTATGTATAAGTGTAGGTCAATGCAACATCGTACTGAATTTATTAGAGATCATAATTCTGTATTAAGTTATATATTAGTAGTTGAGAATTTTCTTGGTACTAGCTTGAGGCTCCAATACTTTTTTGAGGTCATATTGGGAGAGGAAGGGATGAGGCAAACCATTTCAACCTTGATCTAAATGGTCTATGTAAAGCAGGTTGTTCTAGCTCGAACATCTGGAAATGACAGGTTGTTTGGGCTAACTCGAATGGTTTGAATATTTTAAAAAAAATTTAATTTCATTAATTCCATCCCTAAGCTTTTCAAACATTCATTTTAAAAAGAATTAACATTAGAATTAAGAGGGAGAGAAAACACTTATTATCTTATGTCTATCATGTTATTTTCTCATGTTTTTTGTTAGCATGTCAGGAAAAATAAGATGATAGTTCAATTAGCTTACTTATTCCTTTTAGAGCGGAGAACATTTTCGCTTATAAAATTGAAAATGATTTGTGATCATGAAAAAAATATCAAAGCATTGTGTAGGGAAATGTCCATAGAGATGTTGATATTTCATTGAAGGCATAAAGATATGGAATTATAGACATGGAGAATTCATTTAAGACATGGAGATTATCATGTTCGTCGAAGACATGGAGAATTCATTGAAGACATGAGATTTTCATAGAGATATAGAGAAATATTATTGTTTTTATTGAAAAGTTTAAAATATTTTCTCATGTAAATAAATGTATAATTTTTAGGGATTATTTGATTACGAACAGTGAATCATAAGAATATTTTTTTATTTTTTAAATTGTATTTTCTTCCTTATAAATTATTAGATGTCATCCCTAACGATCAATACTTCTATCTAGTTTTTAAGGTATGATATTTCTCAATATCATAAGCATGGTCGTGATGAAAGAAACACAATTTATTAAGGTCCTTTATGTTTGTTTTTCTTAAAGCATGAAAGGATGTATAAATATATTTAACTCTTAAAAATAACTAGTTGTATTTAAAGCATGACTATAAATAACTAGTTTTTTTAAAAAAACATATATATATAGCTTGTTTAATTGTAAAATAAAAAAAAATCTGAACATATATGATATATAAACTATTTTAAGAGTAAAACAACATTAAAATCATTAATTTTTAATTATATTCTAGTTTATCCTATTAAACCTTCATATTAATATAAAAGGTATGTAATTTTATTGTCACCAAACTTAAACATTTTATATTTTATAAGTGATATATAGAGATATCAGAATTTTAAATTGTAATATTTATTTTATTACGAGAATTTATTATGAAAAAAAATTATTATTATAAATTTTTAAGAATTAAGTAAAAACTTTTGATAATGATAGAGAATTTCCCATCTTGGTTCTAACTTCTAACCTTGAAAAGGTACAATATAGGATCAAAGAACTTCTTATCCATTGTGGGATAAAAGAGATAAAAAATAGTTGTGGAATAGATTTCGAACCTTGGCGAGCCATTGCTTCCTCAGATTTGGAAGATGGTCTCAAGACCATTGGTAATTAACCCTACGTTGCACCCAGATATCATATATGAATTAACCACCACAACAAGATATTGAGTGTCAAGACATTTAACAACCAATCAATTTTAGTTAAATACCAATTACCATAAATTGTTCAAATCTGTCAGTAAGTTGTCATAAGAGAATAGATGGTTTCCTTCTAAATCTTATCTTATCCAGAAAGAGAAACATAAAACCTACTTTCCTTGAAAGAAAATCTTATCAGATATATATATATTAACTTAATACAGTCACGAACAGTTTCATCTCCACTCAAGAAATCAACCTTCTATTCGGTTTTATCCCAGTCAAGTTTTGCTCACTAAAACTAAAACAATCTCTTTGTTTTACATTAAACACAGGCTAGCATATACGATCAGAAATTCACGAGGGTTTTTATTGCTCAACAAACCTGACAGAATTGAGTTTTTTTTTTTAAAAGAAAAAAAATCACAAAGGGATGGGGGGGGGGGGGGGGGTGGAGAAAAAACTCAATAATAGGCAAATTTTTCAAACATCTCAAAAATACTTGTTAGAATAAATCACGCCATGAATTTAGCTCAGCATCTAAGAAAATCCAGAATCCAAAAGGTGTTAAAATAATAATAATAATATCTAGAAAAACATAAAATTTATAGCAATACATTGAAAACCAACCATATCCAAAATAAATTTAAACAAAAATCCAGTCTGTTTTTTTTCCTATCCGTAAAAAACAAACAACTGTATTTTTGTAACATTTTTCCCCTTCTCTCTGCTTCTTGTCATCAAAAGAAACAAACAAATGTCCGAATGTTTGGTTTCTCTCTTTAAAGCTCCCTTTACCTTCCTCTATGCCTCCTCTCTTTCGTTTCCATTTCAATCCCCAATCTCTTTATTAAATTCAACTTTCTAGTCTCTCTGTTTTTGTGTTCCTCTTTGTTTCTTTCTTTTCTCTTGATGGGCGCTAATCTTTCTTCAAGCTTTGCAGACCCAAATGTTTATTCTCTTGTTGGGTCTTTATGCTTACAACCATCACCACCGCCCCCAAGGATAAAGCCAGGTCTTGGTGATTTACCAGAGAGTTGTGTCGCTTTAGTTCTTGAATATTTAAACCCATCAGAGATTTGCAGATTGGCTAAATTAAACAGGGCATTTCGTGGTGCTTCTTGGGCTGATTTTGTTTGGGAGTCAAAATTGCCTGTGAATTATGAAGATTTGATTGAAAGAGTTTTTGGTGATGGTCTTGAAGATAAGTTGTGTAAGAGAGAGGTTTATACCAGGCTTTGTAGAGCTAATACTTTTGATGATGGCACCAAGGTATGATCTTTTGGCTCTTATTTGTTGGGGTAATAGAAGGAAAAGAAATTCTGGTTTATTGGTTATTTTGTTATTTAGGACATTCAAAAATGGAAACTTTGAGAAAAAGAAGGTGTTTTGTTGAGTTGTGGATTTTCTCTCTGGTTTTTGCAGCAACTAATTATGGAATTTGCATGTTTTTTAATTGAGAAAGGAAAGCGAAGATATTGGAATCTTGATTCTGATTTTGTTTGTTTGGTTTATGAGAAAATTCGACAGAAGGAAAATAAAAATTTCTTAACTTCATGTACTGCACGGGGGGAGATTTCCTTTTTTGGCTTGATTCTGAAGTTCATTTACTTAGAAATGGATCGCAATAGAGAAAAGGAGTGGGAGGATTGTGGATTTTGATTGTTCAATTCTATGAAGTTCTATTGTTTTAGCCTTTTAACTTTTAAGATTTTGTTTTTGTGCAGAAAGCGTGGCTGGATAAGAGAACTGGAGGTGTATGCTTATCCATTGCTTCCAAGGGGTTAGCGATAACAGGAATCGATGATCGAAGATATTGGAATCATATTCCAACAGAGGAATCTAGGTGAGATTATTGAAACTCTTATTTATGTATTGGAATTTTGATTAGAATTGCAAAATGGTTAGTTTTTCATTATTTATTTCTTAGATTGGCTGGTCAAGTCCAAATTGATCCGAGCATTTTCTTGTCGAACTTCTTCAAAGAGGTTTTTAGTTATATTTCTTTTCATGTTCATTTTGTTTCTCCGAATCAAGATTTCTAGTCCATGATGCGTGAGAATTTGAAATCCAGCAACTGTTTTGCAGTTGTGTCTTCTTAATTATGAGCTTGGAGGTTATATAATTGGACCTTCAAGGGGTAAGTGAGTTTTGGATTATATCAGAGTTTGTCACTTCCATTTTGTATCAGAAATTATTTTACGTAGAAGTAGATTCGTCCGACCCTGAGCCTGAAACTAGTAATGTGACTGAGGAGCATAATTTGATAATTTAACTTCCAGAATTCCTGATCATATCCTCGAAGCTAGAAGCCATTGAACACCTTGTCAGTAATGAACCTTCTGTGGTTGCCCTTCTGTCCTCAACCAAGTATCCTCTTCTTTCTTCTTCCCCATGAAGTATGGTCAGCAAGTATGAATCCTGGACCTAAGTTCATTTTTCTTTTTTCCTCCTTGAAACATTAATAGGTTACTATGGGTGAGGGGAATACTCATAATCAGCTGATCAATCATTAGAATTGCATCTGATTTGGCTGATTGGATGGTCGTTGTGTCGCTCCTTTCTTAACTATGCATTATTTTGTAGTGTGTGTGGGTGGGTGGTTGGCAGATAATTCCAAGATCCAATCGAGTAGCTTTCATCTTTCTCCTAGCCACTGCTTCTTCACATGGTAATGCTAGTTGATTTAAAGGATGCTAATTGGTTCTGTTGATGCTTTGCATCCTTATGCTTTTGATAAGTGGGTAACTTGGCGTTACTTGAATTGGTTGTTTCTATGTTTGTGCTCAAATTGATGATTACTCCTGTGTAGATATAGTGAAAATAGTGTTGGAATTGATCTGAACTTCCATTGTTTTGCATGCAGCTTCAACTCAGTTGCATATCTTCAGCAAATCTGGTGGTTTGAGGTGGATGGTCAATTTGAATTCCCATTTCCAGCAGGGACCTATAGCCTGTTCTTCAGACTACAATTGGGGCGGGCTGCTAAGAGGTTTGGTCGCCGCATCTGTAACACTGAGCATGTCCATGGTTGGGAAATAAAACCTGTGCAGTTTCAGATATGGACTTCAGATGGTCAGCATGCCTCTTCCCAGTGTTTTTTGAACGATCCTGGGAAATGGAACCTCTACCATGCTGGGGATTTTGTGGTTGATGGCGCCAATGCATCAACGAAGCTCAAGTTCTCTATGACACAGATAGACTGTACACACACCAAAGGTGGTCTATGTTTGGACTCCATATTAGTATATCCATGTAAATTAAAAGAAGGGTTACGGCATTTTTAAACCGTACTTAACCTTATAGGGTAGAGTCTGCGTTGTAGGGAGCTGGGACATCTTTGAGACGAAGCGGAATCTAGTATTTGTTGGTTCTTCAGGCCTTGTATCATGTGCACCCAAGCAATGTATATATAGTCGTCTTTAAGGTTGTTGATAAAGTGTGTAGTTTTTTATTATTGTTTGTCTCGAGGAAATCATTACCACTCCTTTTTCTTTTCAGTGGAAGCTTTAAAATAGCTCCATGGATCAAAAGCAAATGGATGAATATTAGCGAGAAATTTTGCTTACACGCTTCTTTTTTTTTTTAATGTGGAAATGTGGTTATTTTTTAAATGTTTTTTATTTATAAATATATTAAAATAATATTTTTTTATTTTTAAAAAATTATTTTTAAAATTAGTATATTAAAATAGTTTAAAAATATTAAAAAATATTAATTTGAAAAAAAATAAAAAAATTTACATCTTTTAAAAAGGCAAAATCAAACATGCACGTCCGAGTTTTTGAAGAGAACTTGCTGCTTTCTCAGTTTCGGGTTTTGCTACTGTTTAGTATTGTGTTCTGAAGGTTGGGGTAATTGTGTTTTAAATGAAGGTCGGGTAAAATTTGAATATATATATATATATATTAAAATTGTTTTAATATATTAACATTAAAAATATTTTTAAAAAATTAAAAAATATTACTTTAATATATTTTTAAATTAAAAATAACTATTTCTATGCCCATCGAAACACCAACCAATAGGCTACACTACAGTAACAGTCGGGGAGACAGACAAGATGGTGATGTTACAAGCTCTCAAGTTTCCTTGGCTCATACCAGATATTTTTGACACATTGCACTTATTCGTACTTCTTTGTCTTATGTAACTCACAGATGGATTCGATTTATGGATCCTCAGTGGCCGTCGGTTGGATCTGTTCATCGTTTGACATGACATTGCGTTATAATCATATTTTTAAAAGTTTTTTTATTTTTAAATTGTTTTTTTATTTTTAAATTGTTTTTATATATTGATAATAAAAATAAATTTAAAAATATATATATTATTTTAATTTATTTTCCAGCAAAAAGATACTTTTAAAAACAACAATTCATCTTCATTTTGCAATGAGTTAAATAAATCTTTCTTTCAATTAAAAAAAATAAAAATGATGGCATTTTATATAAGTTTCTTGAGATTTAAAAATTTAATTGTAAATTTAATATATATATATATAATTAAATAAATTAAAAATTATTTATATAACTAAAACAAATTAGAAAGCCTAATTTTTAATTAACTAAAGTTAATTAGCTAAACTTATGACTTGAATTATGAATTTAATTGGATATAATAATTTTTTTTAATAATTTCTTATTTAATTATTTGTTAAGAAAAATAGACATTTAGAAAATTAAGAACCAACTAAATATTATGGTGTCTATTTGAGATTACAATAAATAAAATATTAAAATATAAAATTAAAAAAAATCTAGAAAGATCAATAAAAACCAAATAGTAAAAGGTTAAATTAAAAAAAATCAAAAATAAATAAATAAAGGTTCAAATATACAAGTTTGGTTGGCCTAACATGCCTCAACTTTTAAAAATGACCCAAATAAATATGTTTAGGGGTAGCCCAGGTATTTAAGCTTATTTTTTTTATAAGACAAATGGTTTCCTTGAAAAGAAAAGAGGAAAAATTTCAAATGCTCTACCTAGATTTCAATAACCTTAAGTCATAAAATAATCAATTAAGGGTTTTCAATCCCTAAAAATTTATTTTTCAATTATTTTTTACTCAAACTCTTACAAAACAATCTAAAAATCCACATAAACCTTTTTATACCTTTAAACAATTAAAAAAAAAAAAACCAACTTGAAATTTGAAAACTTCTCGAGATAAAACAACATCCAAATTAAATTACTCTCATCGAATAAAATCATTTAACGTTAAAATTATTTTTTTTTATAATTATGATCGGTGTTAATTAAGAATTTATTTTTTTATATCATTGAAATCTGATTATTTTTTCTCTCACCTCTCAAATAAGAGATTGAAAAAAATAAATAAATAAAGTTTCCAAACCATGATTTTGTGAAATATAAAGGAATTGAAAATTCATAATTTGAAAAGTACAAGGCCCAAAGTCAAGTTTTTTTTATCTAATTTCAAAATTGCCACCCATTTTATTGATCTTTTACTTTGTTTTTTTTTTTTCCTTCCTTAACAAATATGAATTAATTAGCATTTAATTAGGCTACAAAAGGATGAAATCATCCAAAAAAAAATTTAATGATTAAAATGAATTAAATATTGAATGATTAAAGAATTTTAAAATGAATTAAAATTTGATGATTAAAGAATAAATAAATCACACATCACAGTGAAATATTGAGCAAAAGCTACAAGTGTCTTAGCCACGTCTTTTAGAGTTTCTTATAATAATTCCCTAATTTGCTCGACAAACTCATCAATTTGGATGGCAAAGAATGTGACCTCATTCTCACCATTTGAGCTGCAATAAAAGTAACTGTTGAAAATGTGTGACGAGTAACATGCCAAGACAAGGAAAAAAAAAGGTACAGGTTGATACGTCAAATATGAGGGACATTCCACAGCATCAGCCTGTCAGCCCCATAACAGAGCCAAAACATCGTTGCAAACTTCGTTCAAACCCAAAACATCAGCATCAGCCTTGTTTTTTTAATTAACATGGATCTCCGTGTCAATATGTCAATTTGTGCATACCATTATTAATTTTATAAGTCCTGAAATTAACAATTATATAAACTTTCAATAACCATTATATAAATAATAAAGAACTTGAATATGAGACTATAGAGGGAACAAACCTTTTAATTCCAAATTCTTATCACTTGGCTATCTAACATCAACCTTGTTACCTTGTATGAGTGTGTCTTTTCTACAGTGGTTGGACCATCTAGCCAGCAGTCTATTATTAGTCATAAGTACAGAAATATCAGGTAAGAGTTCAGCGTGTCGAACATTGGCCAACGGTTATGTAAATTAGAAAGAGGTAAGTGTTCACAGCCAAGTCATGCAACAAATCTGAAATTGTAAAAGGCCATGGAAATCAATTGCAGATCGCCGTTGGTTTTCTGTGCATGTAATGCATGGACGGGTGCCATGCTTATCTTGACAAACCTGGATAAAATCTAATACGGCAAAACAGGAAAGGAAAAATAAATACCTTGACAATTTGATAGAAGAATGGCACCATCTCATTTCCTGGGTAAGGTTTAGACTTTGGGATAGCTATTAGTTCATGTCGACATTACAGCATATAATCTACATCATCAAGCTTACGATTATCCCAACTGTAACTATAATCAAACGGGCTTGAGGAAAGAAACTCTTTTAAGGCTCTATTTGTATCTTCTATTGAGTCATTACCCAGAACGATGGAACAAAAAGTACCCAAAAACAAAAACTTACGATTATCCCAACCATATAGTTCATGCTGCCACTTCATATAAGAATAATATATCCATGAAAAGCATTTTCAGGATCTCAGAAAACTAACGACTGTACAAAGTTGATGAAACTAGGATTGTCACCAAGTATGAGAATCCGCATTAGAGACAACCATGAACCCGGCCCCAGGTATTTTCCACAACACCACTTGATGCATTCCTGAAGCAACAGCAACTAATGTTTTGTGATCAAAAGTCATCCCATCCGTTGCAGCATCTTGCTCTTGGCACCTGTTTGCAAGCCAGATACAATATCATCAATCTTAGAGCTAACTGCTTTGTCCTGGGCCCTAATGATGTTCTCCTCAAGCAAAATTTGGACTGCATGCTCCAGTCAATGCTGGCTACCTCCGCAGGATTGGAGACAGAGAAATGCCCACGCTGCATGAATACTCAAAGTCTTGGGAGCTTGAGATGGTGTGGAAGATGCACTTCTTTCACACCTCTCGTATAAAAGGGATGGCCGCTCCAGTTTACCCACATTTGAGCTAAAGCAAAACTTCGGAAATATACAGTGACGCCCATATCAGAGCTATTCAATAGTCCACCCTTGCTCATAATCGAGTTATCATTGCTGTTTCCAAAAGGAAATGAGAAGTAGACAACTTATTTGGGTCAGTTGGAAAACATTGAGGGACCCCAAGCTGATCGTTTTCTTGCGATTGATCTTTCTGGAGTTTGGTTGTGGATAATTTTTGGGAATATTTCTTCAAGCTCTCTGTGTTTTAGAGTTTTGAGAAATGACTTTGCAAGAATCCATTGGCCACTGCTTTAACAAGTAAATAAATTAAAGTTTACAAGGCAATATCAGAAGAAACAGAGATTTAGAGGGTTCAAGCAGCTACTTCCAAGGGTTTTCAGTTGTCTCCTTTTAAGATGACACTCAAATGCATAATAAAGTAGATATCACTTACCGATCGGTTCAATTTTATTATCCCACCTGAAAGTCCTCAAGTCTTTCATACAGTCGAATATGTCAACAATCTGTCAAGCAATGAACCCAGAATACATGAGATCCTGAGTAGGATTTAGATGACTGTTAGACAAATCAAAACAAATTCCCTCCGCACACGGGCAAGCACAAGTCCAAATTTCTCTCAGACCAAGCTGATAATGGCCTACATGACGAACAAGATTCATTTAAGTTTTTATAATATCATTTCCAAAAACAAGTTTTTCAAATATGACTTGAAGATTGAAAAATTGAGACCACGGTAACTATCAAGAGAACACAATACGAAAAAAGTGTGGGTGTAATTTGTTTGCTGCTCGAAATTACATACATGGATACATGCTTGACCAATTCATTTCATGGAGCTAGTAACTGCAGGAAATAAAAAGAGTTTCTTATATGTTGCAATTTTCTTGTAAATCAAATGGTGATATACTATCTGATCCAATATCATCAATGGTGGATCGATACTTTTTTGAAGCATAAACCAGCTCATTAACCTGCATACAAGAGGACCTGTTCTGTCAATTCAAACCTTTAAGGTTTAAAATAACTAATGATTAATAAACAACATACAAGGACCAGGATGGATCGAACATGATTGTTCAGATATTGCAGGTCATATGTACCTTAGATAGAATTGAACTTCAAGGCAACACAGCTCTTCAAGGTCCCTTGAACAAAATTCCCAGGAAAGTATCTGTAAAGCATGCCGAGAATAAAAGATCAATGTGTTATGAAATCCACTGGTCTCATTCAGTGGGCTATAGCTCACCTTTAAATTATGAACAATAATGATACTAAGTTTACCCTCATGAACAACATGAAGCTGGTCATTAACAGTCTCCCTTTCTGCTTCTTATTCAACCTGGAAAGTACTTCAAATGTTTCCTCTTCCAAGAATTTAAAGAAAAAAAAATGATAAAATGTTCCATGGCAAACTGTTAAGAATATAGAACTTTAGCCTTCAGCTAATACTCAAGCTTTTAAGTGAGACATGAGGGTCTCCAACAGTAGCGAATTTAGACAGTCAGTGGCTGATGAAGGTCGACATAATAATTTACAAAATTTTAGCAACATAGCAATGATGAACTGTTTTTTGTTTTAGAAAGCAACATATTGACTGACTGAAAAAAATGTAGTGCTGATTTGCTTACCAAATCCCCCCCCAGATTTGGCCCAGCTCAAGTCACAATGCCATGTAGCCTGGGAAAGGAAAAAAAAAAAACAGGGAACAAATAGGATAAGGAGTGAGGAAAGATTATATGGAATGGGTATAGGGGGTATTATGCACAAAGAACTGAAACAAGTGTGTGCATCTATTTATGTTTATGGTGGATAATAAAAAATATGTCACAAATATCAGTATTTCGACGCTGGAAAAAAGTACTGACAGCTGACCACATCTGCCTGGGAGAACACACCAATGGCATGAAATCTAGCACCATCGTTTCTTAGCACAAGAAGCATAATACTCAGCAACAAATTTTCTCCAATAAGCAACACGATTGTCCCACACAGAGATGTGGTGGGGGGG